TCCGGAGGCTTGATCGCCCTGCGTTGCCGCAGGGTCTTCCCGTTTGAGTACTTTTCAATTTAGACCCAGTGCTGTGGAAGGGCGCGGACTTGTGCGGTGTTACCCCCTCGACGGGGGCTATCTCCCCTGGACTAGCCCAGGGAGGGAGAGGCGGAGGAGGGTAGTAGTCTCAGGAGGCTGTTTGGCGTCTTGTGGTGTGAGCTCTTTGCGCTCTTTTTTGCGTGAGGATTTTTGAGCTTGGTGACCTCCCCAGCCCGGGAAGACTCGTCGGGCTCCCGGTCGCCCAAGTCCTGGTAGCGAGCTCTCTGAGATGCTCGGTTCGTTCGGTCGGCAGGAAGAGCCCCCCAGTTGCGACTTCGTTTATGTTAGGAGACCAACGGGCATAGATCCCGTCTAGTTGGAGCGCCAAACAAGCGCTGTTGCGTGCCGGCCGTCGTTTCCCGTGCGGCCTGACCCGGGGGCGGAGTGCATGAGACTAACCAGCCGTATGCACCCGCCCCTCGCGCTGTGCTTCGGCCCTGGGCCCCCGGCTTTTCAGCCCACAGTGTAATCAACGTCATACATACATACATACATACATACATAAGGCAGGCGGCTGGCAGAGGTTAAGGCCTGACTTCTGCTCCCAGTCGACCCAGTCGACCCGGGTTCAAATCCGCCTGCCGGCTCCTCGGGTGTTTGAGGAGTGATGAATTGGGAGGTGGCCCCCCATCATATTGACGGTGTAGGACGTGATAAAATAAACTTGCGAGCTGACCAGGAACTAAGTTGATGCGCCGTTGATCCGCTAGATTTGGTTGGATGCTGGTGGTGAGTTGCCGAACCCAACGAATACATTCTGAAGTCGGATGGGGTGACGGATTAGGGTGCCCCTCTAGCAGGGGAGAGCAGGGACTGCCCCGGGAAAGGGGGCCGCTGGCGAAGTTAACCACCCTGTAACAACATACATACATACATACATACATACATACATACATACATACATACATACATACATACATACATACATACATACATACATACATACATACATACATACATACATACATAC